TCCATACGTTGACTGACTAAATCCTTCGTTGGATAGTTGATTGTTGGGGCGTGTCTGCTTCACTTGTATACTGGGGCGACTTCCTGGTGCCAGCCAGTACTAGTTTTCGAAGGGCCTTACCCGCGGGTCCAGAGCAGTAGGGGCCCTCATGGTCGGTCTTGTGGATGATTTCAGCACTATGAACTTATTTCAGAATACAGGACTGACTCTCTGTTTCCTGCTTGAACTATATATGGAAGGGGCAAACCGCTGTAACTTGTGCGTGTTTCTGCTAAGTTTTCCGCACTGTTGCATTCTCAAAGCCATTCTTTCGTAAAACCGTCATAAGAATGCTTGAGACTGGCATAAGATCATTCTCAGCAGCACCAGCATTCTTAAGCCGTTCTTAGCATTCTTAGCGTTCTCAGGAACGTTCTTTAGCACGCTTCCATTTTGGTAGGGGGACACAGTGATGCTAAATGGAATGTCTTCACAATATACGGCTAAAGTAATTTAGCCAAACAATTTAGTGGCTCCTGTATTTCAATTTCGATTTGTGTGTACGGTCATCGTACCTATCTATGAGTAATTTTTAGCATTACTCATACTACATTCTCATCTTAGATATCTCAGTATTAATTTCATTTTGGCTCATGCCAGGTTACCGACATCGGTTACCGATCACTGGGGACGGTTAACGGATAACGGTTCGCCCGGTAATCCTACCGACCGGTTACCGATCTCGTTAACTGGACCCGTTAGGTCGGAACCGGGCCGGAACCGGCCTGGAGTATGCCATAGGGAAGCCTTCAGGGGGGCTACCACTCGCTGCGTAGCTGTCGTATTTGTTTGGCGGGTGTACTTGCACCCACCCGTACCGCCCCCGCCGTACATGCAGCCGCTCGCAGCTACCCCGCATGTAGTATCTCTGCATCTTCTTCCCCTCACCTACCGCTCTTAATGTACATGCAGGCCCCGTGACTGTAACGATGCGAGCTCGCTTTCCGGAGCCCGAATCCCCAGCTTGATGAGTTGTTGTACAACAACATGTCGTTGCGGTGGACTAATAGTTGAAAGCCCTGACACTCCGCAAGCGAGTTGCATGCACGGTAAAGGGTATCCTGGGTGCCATAAGTGGATTCCATCTGCAGCTGCTCCCAATGTAGCGCGCCATCATCACCACCATCATACTGCGCGTTGGTGACAACTTCATATGCTGCCTTTTGAGGACATCGGGTCACTGCAGGCAACGAGTCAGCAAGCAAGCATCGAAGAAGCGCTACGCGTGGATGAGAGCCGAGCTTAGCATCCGCCAGCTTAGCATCATCATCACCGTCATCACGCACGCCCGGTGCGCGCTCAACATGCGCGTGCATGCACTCTTAATATTTTTTAACCGTGAATGGAAATTCAGATAGGCATAGTAAGCAAAAACATATTGATTTTTTTCTTACATTACGCCTGGCGTGTGCCATATCAGTAACATACGTAAAGGGGTGAGACGCCTTGCAAGCCTGACGCGGCACTGAGGGTTCCCAATAGCAGCAGCAGCGGCAGCAGCAGCAGCAGCAGCAGCAGCAGCTTCAGGTAAGCTTTATTATTCCTGTCAAGCAAGCGCAGCCGTAGGACGATGCAGATAACAACAGTCTCACCGATTTTGCTGTAAGAGCAGTAGCCCAGGGAATACGTGTAGGAGCCATCTGTGTACCTGACCCAGCCAGAGCTATCACCGTCCTCCCCGTCCGGAGCAACGACATCAAAGCCCAGGCAGTTGCTCGAAGATGAGCAAGCTTCCAAGGTGATGTTTAATAAAGGGTAGTTAATTCCGTTGGTTCGGTTGTACGCTATATCCTTCATGGCGATGTAGCCGTCCAAGAACGGGCATGTCGTGACTGCATCCATGCATCCATGCATCCATCGGCAAGGAAAGCACGGGCGGTCCACAACCGATTCGAGTGAATAGAAAAAGGAAAACGAAAGGGGAAAGGACAAAAAGGAAGTGTACGGCGGTCGTCATACGATTACATGCCCTGACATGTCTTAAATGGAGTCATTGCGCATCGTCAACAGTTGTGCATCTGTTACCGCCTGTTACATCACAGCTTCAGAAAAGCACCGATCGGCGCATGCGGTCTTCGTGATATGCTCTCCAGGATGCTACATTGCCGCGGGGGCCATGGAGGTTAGGAGCCTATGGGCCAGCCATACACGTGTGCACCATATATCTAGGTTGTCGGATGCTATGTATGCACAACGGCGGTTACTAAGCACCACGCACGGTGGCTTGCTGATGCTTTTTAGGATATATCCCTAAAATCAGCTGCAGAGGACATATTCTTGCTTGGTGTAGTAGCTGCCCCTGGCCGCTCTAAGGGTCTGGAAAGAGGCTGGCGAAGCGCCTTATTAGCGCTTATTCCTAGCTAGGAATATTAATTATCTATTTAGATAATACGTATGTCGTCCACTCGCCCATCAACCACTCACCTCGTTTGCGGTACAAGCACATCCCGCGCCCGTAACGATAGGTAATAGGGTTCTGCAGGAGTCCTCCTTGCGATGATGCATCACTACTACTACTGCTCAAAGCTTGAAAGCCAGCACAGCTGCTCAGCCTGGAACATAGAGCTGCTGCTGTCTGTGCTGACAACTGCTCCAAGAACTGACGGCCCCCTAATAATGCTTCGGCATCCGCTATTACTTCATAGTGCTCGCGGCGTGGGCAGTGCGTCGCTGCAGGAAGGGAGGGGCACGATGCGATGTGACACGTGATGAAAAGGAGCACCAGGACGCGTGCAAGAAGTAAAGCAAGTCTGAGTCATTGGAAGATATCATCAGCTGCGTACAAAATATATAATATAATATAATATACTCGCAATAATTCTTGCACATTTCATGGAGTCATGCGTGCATAGATGTCGCATAGATGTCGCAACATGTCACGGCTTCTGGAAAACAAAAAACACATGCGTTATACGGAGCTGCTATCGTATCATGGCATGAAACATAGCATACGTGTGTCTATGTATCGCGATACGTGTACCCTAGGCTCGTACTGGGCGGTTTGCAGGTGCGGGGAACCTACCCTCACGACCATGTAACACACACACACACACACGCGCACACACACACAAGCAAACACGCACACACACGCACACACACGCACATACACGCACACACACACATGCACACACACACACACGCACACACACACACGCACACGCACACACACACACACCGACGCACACACACACACACACACACGCACGCAAACACACACACACACGCGCGCGCGCACACACACACACGCACACACACACGCAAACACGCACACACCGACGCACACACGCACGCAAACACACACGCACACACACGCACACACACGCACACGCACACACGCACGTACCTGTTCCCAAATAGGACACAACCCACGATTCGTCAGTCGCTACCAGTACTTGATTCGGCCAACTGCTCGCATCACTGATGATCAGCAGCGCTGCTATAAGCCCCGCAGGGTTTGTCGTGCTTGATGATGAGCTGCTGTTGGAATTCCATGCCCAAAGGGAGAGACAATGCGAGCCCGCTGGCAAGAGGACGGGCAACTCCAGCAGGGTTGGCTGCAGTAGGCTGTTGCTGCTGCTAGGCCAGGCCACATACCCAAGGTAAACATCGTCCAAGAAGATATGGGCCGCGTCGTCGCAAGCTACGTATAGCACCCCCGAGGTCATTGACCGGACCGTGAAGGTCTTATTGAACATGTATATGTCGCCTGTAGGGGCATCCGAGCTCGCCCCCGGCGTGCTCCAAATCCACTTGGCGATGTTGTTGTTGTTGTTGTTGTTGTTGTTGTCGGTGTTATTATTATTGCTGTTGTTGTTGTTATTGATGCCGTTGTGAGGGAAATCTTGGATGCGCCATGGCCACATTTCGGCGTCTCCCAACACAAACGGCCCAGCTGCATCCACCACCGTACATCAGGTGTTGTGTCAATCATCCGACGTACATATACATAGACAGTATCGTTTAGGCTTTGCCGTTGGGCATTGGCGGCGAACAGAGCGCGCAAGGGACGATGTTATATACCTAGGGAGGAGCGGGTATGCCCCTGCTGCGGCACTGATAGCCATATTGAAGATGAGAAGCACGTTTTGCTGGACTGTCCGGTGTACGGCAAAAGCAGATCTGATATGGATTTTCCACGCTTCGAGCATTAGAAGGACGCTATGAAGTGGGAACCTGAACGTCTGGCAGGGATGCTGGAACGTATGTGGTCCCACCGCAACTCTGTCGTTAGTGTCCTTTATCACTTGCTTTGTCTGAAGTGCGACGTAGGATAGTGCTTATAGGTGATCTGGCAGCCCTTGAGCGGTGCCGTTTTGCAGTTACGGAGAACGCACCCCACGACCATGTATAATACACACAGGTATATACAATATCGGTGATATATCACGACTTCAGGAAAGTTCCGATCGGCGGATGCAGAACCCGTGATAAGCCATATCCATAATGCAACTTACAGGTATGGGGTCACGCAACCCCAACCCTGTAACACACACACATATAATGCAGCTATGGGGTTGTGATGAGATCTCAGTGTCCCCCTGTGATAGGGAAATACACACGATCACCTGTGGCCACAAGACCTGCCACCGCGCGCTCGGGACAAATTGGACAAACCGCTTGATCTTAGCTCTAACCCAGATTCCGTGATACACCCGGAATTCTATGACATGCACGCATATTCACACGCAAAGCCGTATCAGACACATGAATGTAGAGGTTGTAGGTAGTAGGCACACATGTCCTCTGTAAATAATAATAAGGCGCTCCGCCAGCATCTTCAGCAGACGGCTCATCAGCGGCCAGCGACTACGATAACTGGCCATCGGGACATTTACAATCTACCTCCCCCTCTTCACCGAGACGATCCTGTCTCGGCCTGCTGCGGGCAATGGTTAAGCTTGCTAATAATTTGGACCCCAGGATGTGATGAAAGCCTGCTGGGCAACGTGAGTATTCATGCGCGCGCGCGCGTGCGTGCGTGCGTGGCCATATTTGCATGGCTCTTTGGGCAGGAGTACGTTACAGTGGCCATCCATAACCTGGACGATTAGGCCCGCTACGGACGATTGTTAGCTGCTGATTTTGTCGTTGGCTGTATCAGGGGCACACCCACCGACTAGCAATGCCAATGTTCCCTCTCTTAAACCCATCCAACCTCGCAGTGCCACCACTTCCAGACGGCACATGAGCGAGCAAGCTGAAAAGATGAGGCAAAGGAGGCAAACAAAGGTTCGTAACCATTCTTTGTCAAGCGGCTGCACAGCCATTCGTCCCAATTTTTATAAATGAACACTTTTCTCTGCTGCTCTTGACGTGAACAAACGCACGTCGCATCTTTAAGTGCATGCTGGGCCTACGTATACATACGATAATTTATTACGTACCGTTTTGGTGGTTTTATCTAATTATTAGCCATCTAACTTGCTTCAGCTTAAGGTCCCAACCACATACTTAACTACCAGAAGTAAAGCCACACGTGAAACTCGTCAAAGTAAGACGAACCGGGCAAGCTTGTCCCCCACAACATTATTATTATATAAAAAGAGTCATATCGTAAACTTTTGGATTAAGTAGGTTGAATTCTATGAACCATACCTTGCGCTGCGACATCTTTGAGATAAGCCGCGACGAAGACGACCGATAGCAGCAGCTGCCACTCCATAGATAACGTTCTACTCCAGCGCATAGCTCCAATATTTAACGAGCCCTTCTCCTCATTTATGCTGTAAGATTCAAAAATTATTATACAGGTTGTCCACCCAACCCTCTCTACCAAAGCAAACTAACCTTCTTCATGAATAATGACTGTAAGTGTATGCAAATCCTTCCTGAAAACTAAGCAGCGAATACAGAGCGATCACCTCGTTATACGTTACATAGGTCTGGGATTAGAGCGAGGATAAAAGGCAAGACCCTGCCATAAATACAAAGTGTATCTCGGAAATCCGCTCCAGAACCAGTAGAACAGAACCAGAACCCAAATACAGACAGACATATATCCAAGAAACCAATAAATGCAGACTCATATCGCGCATGTATGATTTTCAAGTCTTTCCAACCGTTGATTTCAGGCGGTACGGCGGTCGGTCGCACGCTGCAACAGCAGACGCGTGGCGGTACACCAGACAGTTCCAAGGCACTGCTTTCTAGCCTAACGTGGAAATTCCATTGCATAAATGTCGTTGCGCCATGGCGGGCGGTGTACAGTAGGTCGGTCATGATGGTGTGTGTGCCACCACGATCAACTTCCTCCACACCGCCAGCACACCATGGCGGCAGCGGACACCAGAACCACAGTACCTATTAAGGCAGTTCGATAATTATGAATTGGTGGTCCACAGCAGCAGCAGCAGCAGCAGCAGCAGCGTCGACAGCTACAGCGCGCACCGCCGCGGTGCAGTGGTCAGCCTCGGTCGTCTAGATCTCTGGGGTCAAGGGCGAAGCGTTAGGGCGATTTACAGGAGTACCAACAAAAGGACCCGGATTCGATTTCAGGTCATATCGGAGACACATTTGCTCGATACGAATTTTATTATGTCACGACTTCAGAGAAGTACCGATCGGCGGATACAAGCCTCGTGATATGCCCAGCATACTACAGCATCAGTTGCTACACAAGGTGCGTGGTTGGCTACCAGCAAAGAGTCAAGGGGACTCGCACGATTATTATTAGCAGCCCAGTGGGAATCTGCAATGCAAAGTTGCAGCGGCAATCCGCGAGTTGGAAACGGTGAAAGACGAAAACCAGAGCCTCAACAATGGTCAGGAAAGACGCCAACAGCCGAAGCTGCTCTAGAATCACTTGGTGCCCGGGGATCGACACAGCGACAAGATCAGCAACCGCAGAAGCGGGTGCAGGAGACCGAGCATCAAGCATGCCCGATGATAAATTCAAGCGATTACAGCCGCAGCCGCCCAGGTTGAACAAGGCGGTATCAGGCATGTCACCGGAATAAATAGCGAAAACCTACCCTCCCTTATGTAACAGTCGAGCTTTGGGAGTAGTGGTAATGGGATAAGGGAGTCGAGAAGCGGTTCTACTTCAAGAGGACCCACGGACTTCGCACGTCGTAGCTTCTGCAAGCATAATGAGAGATGCAACTAACGATAAAACAATGAAAGTGACAAGAATTTTTAAGATACCCTCAAGAGCCGCAGCAATAGCTCCAACACTGTAAAACTTGGACATCAACATCCATCCGATCGAGAGAAAAGCGCGGAAGAGCTACCTAGTCGAGACCGAGGTCCCGATACCGTTAATTATATCACCACCGCAGTTAGTATGGTGGTGCGAGCTATCAATTAATGAATAAAAGGAGGCTAAATGCCTCGGCGAACATGACGCGGCTTGTACAGCAATCTGTACGACCACTGCAAGTAGTCCAAAAACATTCACAGGAACTGAAAAAACTATTGTTGCGGCTACATCTGCTAGTGCCCCACAACTCAAGATGCCGTATTAGAGGCGGTGGTCGTACGTCGACCATACGGCAGGTCCTGTGAACGGTCAAACTTACTCACGGTTGCACTTTGGTCACGCTGTTCAATCCCAGTTTTTATTATTGTGTGTATTTTGAAAATGTCGGGCTTGCTTCCGAAAGGACAACATGAGCTTCGGAAGGTCCACCAGGTGCATCCTGCGCAATCGACCGGCTCAGGTCAGCGGTTCTGCTCTTACCAAGAAACAACAGCTTTTCATATTGAACTTTAAGGTATAAGTTTTGATTTCCGTAACAGGTCTGGCTACACAAGTTTCCTCTGGTGATATGGCTGGGGGCCCAATGCCCCGAAGACTGACGCAATGGACAATGATTGCCGAAAAGACTGGTGTGCAAAATACGAAGGAGCGCCTGAAAAGCTTTTGGACCACCCTGGGTGTTGTTTCTGCCCTCATGGCCGGTACGCTGTCGGAGGGCCGTCCATGCGTAACCTTGGATTTAACAATTTGATACGCATCTTAAAGTTAGCATTTGAGCAAACATAGAAGCCTAATTGCCTGAGGTCAGCCCACGCACCACCACATTTGCGCATGGGCATCCTCGCTCTGCAGGTTCTGGGCGTACGTAATTGGAGAAGCGCATAGCGCATTACCTGTTTGCGGCTGCCATCACTAGCATCACTACTAAGGAAAAATATAGTAAGCCGCAGCCGCGTCCCTCGCCCCGCGTCCTCCCTCCATCCTTTTGCCCTTACTCATCTTGGGCGTCCCAGCCTTGACCTATCCGGCGGTCTCGGCTCCGTCTGTCAACAAGCACACCAGTGGACATGGCCCCGGCACCGTCGATGACCCCTTATTCATGTCGTACGGTGAGCCACCGTCTTCATCGAACAAGCTATTGACAACATACCTTTTGGTCTTAAAGTGTGGATCTCCCGCTCTATCTCCGTCTCTATCTTTGTGCTGCGAAAACGCTGTTGACATGCAGTTCTTCTCAACACCAGCAGCCTAATTCTGTCCTTCATGGTGGTCATCATCTCGGTCGTACTGCTCGCGGAAGTGGATCTTGTCGTAACAGTAAGTACGGTAGTACGACACGGGTACGACATGACTAGGATACAGGGACTGACCACTCCGAAACCTTCTACATAACCCGTACGACAGGATGACGATTTGGAGACCTTCATTTCTCGCTACCAGTACTTGTTTTTGGGCCTAACCGGCATATTCGGCTTCTCAATCTTGACTATCATCGCCTCTATCATCGTCATCGGCTTCTTTAATTACAACAATGCAACCGCCATTGCCTCCGCCGTCATCTGCATCACCGGCACTGTGATTGTAGCCATCGTGTCCACGTGGGTGAGTGAGGTATCCTGTTCAGGCGTCGCCAGGCGTGTGTGTCCTGTTTAGGATCCGTAGGTCCCGTAGGACCATCCGTACATATGCGGCAGGGGGATAGCAAGACAAGGGACGACAGCATGTTGCTCCCAGGTCGCATTGCGTTTTATCCTCATCTACGACGTGTGTTGTTACGATAAGCGAATGAGAGTAATGTAACAGCTCATGCTCGTTACATGTGTTCTACTTAAGCTACATGCAGTGCCTTTGTCTTCTTGCTTTTCGGGGTTGGGAAGAATACAGCTGCCTTCCCTGTCACCAACCCACCGTACAAGCTGTACTAACACAACCGACACAACCGAATTAACTACCTGCACTTCCAGTTGGCTTTGTGGACACGTGCGCGGCTCAAGGTCCACATAGCGGAGGCCAATGAGCTGCTCAAGACCGCCGTCAGTCGACTTAGAAAAGCCATAGCTCCTTCGCCCCCATCAGCCGCCGCCACCGCCGCCGCCGCCACGGCCACTACCGCCCCAGCCGCCACTGGCACCGCCGTCGCCGCCATAATCGCTGGGGCTGGCGGCACCGCACGTCCTGTCGGTAGCACTATGGTGGCGGTTGTGGACGAGGATAACCCCTCACATCCCCGGGGGAAGCCCTCCTTGTGAAGCACGCGGGGGTTCAGGGGGGGAGCGCCTTGGGGCTGTGGGCTTGTGGGGGTGAATGAGTGAGTGAATGAGTGAGTGAGTGAGTGAGTGAGGGGAAGGAGGGGAAGGGGGAGGGTGTCACACCGTCGGAGGGGAAGGAGGAACTCTCTTATCGAATTGATGCCCTGCGCTGTCATCGCGGCGGAACATCAGTCCATGTTCTGTAAAATCGTTTGTCAGCTTTACTGCAGTACAGACGTGCAGATGAACGGGATATGGAAGAATGGGGGGAAATTCAAAATGGCGAATGGGGGGCAGGGTTGGGAGGACGCAGAAGGGGTTGCTACTTTATGTGCAGCCTGCAGGTTATGGGTGTCGTGCGTGGCACTTTGCGGAACATTTTGTTAGTTGCCATTTCCGTTGATCATCGTACAATTAGGCCTTCCCTGTTAGAGATAAGATCTGGATATTGACAACATTGGCGGTGATATGAAGATAATGGTACGAGTACACGGACGATGTTCGCGGTTTCTGACCAAGTGAGTGAAAAAACCTGTCGCGTGAGCAGTCGGTTGTTCGTTAGTTGGTTGGGCGGGGGGTGTGCATCCGAGTGTACGGCCCGCGTCAGGTGGTGGTTATGTGACTATCTGTCCGGTTAGATAAAGTCATCAAGGAGGAAAGATCTGGAGCTCTCGCTGTGAGGGTAATGCAGGCGGGCGGGGGGGGCCCGCTGCCGCCGCTGAATGGAAATAATGAATGGAAATTGGGAAGGCGGCGGTGGAGGGGGAGGAGGAGGATGGGAGGGGGGAACGCTAGAGCTGCTTGAGGGAAACTGCTCGCGCAAATTGATACAGGAGCCGAAGATGAAAAAGCTGGGAAGGCAAGCAGAGATTGCAAAAGCGCTGAACCACCTGCACTTCACGCCCCTTAAGTAACACCCGCATAATTCTCTCCTTTTTTCAAATAGCGGTAATGATGATGGTAATGATGATGAGGGGATGCGTGGTGGCGGCTCTCGTTCCTGGGCATTTCCCCCACACTTCCTTGAGAAATGTGGAAAGAATTGGTGTTGATCGGTCGCGGTCGCTGACTCGGCCCCGCGATTTCTAATGTTGCTCATCACACGTCATATGGAAGAACCGCGTTTGGATAGCCCCTCTCGAAGCTTCCCCTCAGTATTGCCTAAGTAGGCATCATCATTAGGCCACATTCGGCGGGCCGCGCGCAAGAGCAAAAGGTGGGGGGGAGAGAGGAGAGGTGGCGCCGGCGTGTTGGCGGGAGGTTCGGCGGCATTGCAGAATCCGCTTTAATTGCAACATGGGACATGAAAAGATTTTTAATGATGTCGGTGTATGGGCGGGATTTGGGGGCTCCGTTCAGGACTATTGGTAATAGTCCAGGATGGTTCAATGCTTGCCATCGTCCCACTCGCCTGCACCCGCTATTACTTGTGTCCTGGATGGCTGGCTCATCAGACTTTTTGTTGTAGATTAAGCTCTCTGGTCTTATTTGCCGTATGGGCATGTAGGGGTGGGAGCAGTAGCAGCGGCAACTGCTGATATGATATGCGAGCTGCCACATTTGCTCCATGTATTTGCATCCTATCTGACAAGCCCCGGGTACATACTCGGGTTGTGCTTGCGCCCGACCGTGCGGTACGAATGTACGACTTGTACGGCTCGGATCTTGTCGTGCATATACGTCAGCTGGCGGCGCTGAAGCGGGGCACGTATTGGCCTCCAATTCGATATTTCCCTAATCCGTTTGTTGCCGGCGCGGGTTGACGTGGTTGACAAAATTTACCATTTTAATAAAAAAAATGGTAAACGATTTATATCATTATTTATTATTATGATGTCGGCATTCGGTGTGGAAATTTGCGCTTTTGTGGTTCATGCCTATTGCGTTTTTAATGAACTTAGCTTGCGAGGCTTGTGTATGTGTGTATGTATATGTATATGTATATGTATATGTATGTATGATTCTGTTACACATTGATCCGGGCCTGAAGCTGGCCAGGGGCACCTAACGATGTATGTGTGTGTGTAATACGTTCCGTCTGCTACATTTACTTGTCCAGTTCACCGTGATGTAACCCTTCCTTTCCGTAGCTGGCTGGGCAAATGCACGCGAGGGCGCTAGCATTACATGCCAGGACGCTTCCTTGCATTGTAAATACCGTGTGGATGGATGGATGATAGATGGATGGGTGGATGGATGGATGGATGGATGGATGGGTGGATGGATGGATGGATGGATGATGGATGGTGCCCGTGTAATCGCAATGGTGGCTGGCTTGCATGCGCGACGGGCGCGACTGCATGAGACATCTGCATGGATGATTTAACATATGGTGCATGTCTGGATGCACGGGACTCCTTTGACAGCAGTTACGGGCGGTACATGAAACATATCAAGCAGCGGAGCTCCTGCGCTTATGAAGGACAGGTTCATGGACTTCTGATTGCTGGTTATGAAGCTCAAACGGGTAGAAGCTTCAACAGGTATAAACTCCACGGACAGGTCGTAGCATCGCCAGCTAGATCCCCGGGACAGAACGTGCAAGCCGGCTTTAGTTCATGCGCGTGTGTGGATGGCTGGCATCTACGTGTCGCGCGGCAAGTCGCGGCAGAGGTATCCCTAAATGCGTTTCCCAAAGATTACCATGATTCTAGTGCACGAGCATTAAAAGAAAGGCTAGATAGGTCCGCCGCGGAAGCTGTGTGCTTACGGCAATGTACGTTCGCTGCTGCATGGTACAGCTTGCAACATCATGGTGATAAACGCAAACCTTCACCATCTTCACCACCGCTTTGATTATTGTTGTCAATTACTCGGCTATATATGCACCCATCTTTAACACTGCCTTAATCGATAGGCTGCGGACGTTCCGACTCTGGATAGGACACGCGGATTAGCTGGCAGGAATCAGCCAAAGACCTGTAAAGTTAACTGCAGGTGTAAGTCCTGCGTAATGACGTCACAGCTTGCGGCAGCGCTTCAGACTGGAAGTGTTTGGTTTCGGGTGGCTGCAATTTCGGGCGCGACAGCGGTTGGTCTAAGCGCGTATGGCGCACATGGCTTTAAGCCAAAGGTAATGCACTTATATGGCGAACGAATGACTGCAATATGTTTTTTTCCAGTCTACGCCGACTGAGTTTCGGAAGTGTCAAATTACCATCTCCGCCGAGGAACGCAGGATCCTTACTACATGGAGGTCTTCAGGCGAGCCAACAACCTCCATTTAGTACACAGCTTGCTACTTGCCATCGCCCCCAGCACAAAGTAAGGACTCACCGGTTTCCCGTACAGAAGCCTCACATAGCTCGCAGATCGGGCTGAAATAGATTTCCCTGTTTCCTAACATACCTACCATTCTATCAGGCTTGAAGCAATTGTACCTCCCTCACCAAAACCTGACCACCTGTTGAGTCTCGCGCTGACTTCGACGTATCAACTGTCCACACCTCTCTTTGACCTCCTCCTCAAGCCATATCCCCTGTCGCCATACACCTTTCCCACCAACGTTCCTCCATCTGCAAGCCGGACCTCTTTCCCATGCATGTTGCATATCCTTTCCCGTCCTTTCCTTGCCATCCATCACACGCCCCATGACCTCTGCGGGGCCTCCCTCCCTCCCTCCCTCCCTCCCTCCCTCCTCGCTTTTATCTATCTCGCATATGACCTCCCTCATCCCCCTCCAGGCGGCCCTGGCTGGTAGGCGGCCTCACCCTGGCTGGGATTACGCTGTTCTCAGGCACCTGCTACAACATCGCCCTGCGGGAGGAGAAGAAGTGGGTGCAGCTGGCGCCCATGGGGTGAGAGTCCGGGGTCCCGGGGCTGAGGAGTCTGGTCCGGGACCCCAGTTGGGGCTAAGACGGGGTCCGCTTGGTAGGGAGAGATGGAAAGGGCAGAGGGCGGTGTGCTCGCGGGGGAGTTATAGCTTTCATGCGGGTTGGAGGGCTGGGGGGAAGGTGAAACGGAAGGGCGGTTGGGAATGGGGTGAGGGTGTTGGTTTGGCACGTATCTGGAGGGTCTTGGGTCCTACCAAGTATGAACCATATGACCGCACTCATCATTCTGAGCGCAATTCAACCATGGAGCGAAATCTCATGTGGCTGGAATCCGCGATTCGAGCCGTGTCTCTTTTTTTCATTTTTCCTTTCTGGTCGAGTCCTTGCTTGCTTACTTACACACGATGAAGTCCTTCTCCTATCACATCCCATCCCATCACCTAATCCCCTGTCACCTACCACCCCACGCGTCCCTGACCCGCCCTCAACTTAATCAACGCCCATCTAACCTCTTCCCTGACGCCTGCGCCCTGACATAAATCCCCTGTTTCCTGGTTTTCCTGTGGTACTCTTCATTTTGAGTATTTTTTGAATTTGCGGTGTTCCTTCCTGATCTCCCTCCTGCGATGTCCGTCGTCAGGGGATTCGCACTCATGGCCGCTTGGCTGGCATTGGCTCTGTGATCAGGTACATGTAGCAGCGCTGTTGGGGTAACCCATGTGTAGGAAGGTTGTTGAGGGTGGTGGAAAGAGTGGTAAGGAATAATAATGATAATAATAATATTATTAATATTTCGCTACGCCAAAAGAGGGGTTGCGGAGGGCGAGCGGGTCTGAGGTAGGTTGGGTCAACAGCGCTCGTTTGACTGAAAGCTCTGGATGTATGTCAGTGACGGTGGAGGATTGATTGTGTCTCTCTGTGAGGGCGGAAGTCGACACTGTGGGGCGTTAGGGAAGATTGGAAATGCTGCGGCCAAAGGGAAGAGTGTTCGGGTATGGAAGGATGGAGCTAGGTGTGATTCTCATTGGGCCATGCATGTGTCTGTGTGTGAGCATATCTGCCTGCGAACTGAGTGCAGAATTTTAATTTGCTGATTGGTACTGCAGGCTGGTAAAGCTGGTCATGTAAATACGTCACGTGTGGCTGCAGGGCCATATACATATTCATGTCACTGGTGGGAAAGGTCACTAATATATGTACAGACGCTGCTTTAGATGCCTCATCATCATCATCATCATCATCATGCCACATCTCATGAATGAGGCGTGGGTAGCAAGAACAGCTCGAAGGGTTCGGAGGTGCGCTTTCGCGTTGCCCACAATTGGAGATGGAGATAACTGGATGACGGTGATGTATATTGCCAAGAAATCGGATGCACAAATCCCAATGTGCATCCCAATGTGACTTGTGACTTGAACGGATGTTCATGGGTACCACAAATGGATACTGGATACTCGTTCACGTCGCAGATCTTGTGAGTAATGGTAAAGCGCAAGCAGCGTGCACGGGCTGTGCAGTTCGCAAAAGAAAGAATCATCATAAACTCGATAGAAAGTTCATATCCCAAAACCTCCAAGCGGTGAAATCCAGGGTTAAAAAACATCAATTTCGTACGATTAACTCCCCTCTGAGGTTAAATTGTCCAAATTGAACTTGCAATAAATTACCACCAGGCACGGTTGTCGTACCGCAGGCCCTAAAAGCTGTTGAATGCAGCTTTCAAATACTAATCAAGGCAACGTAGCACAAGGAGGTACGAGGTGGGGGTTTCCAAAGCACTTATCGATGGCGCAGATCCTGCTGCGGTCGTTCGTCACCCGCCGTTCCATGCTCAACAGCCCTGCCCTGCATCCATGGCGCGCTGTATCTCATTGTGCTGCCTCTTTATGCTTTCGAGGAAAGCGTTAAACTAATTTCTTACTCTACTGCGCATGTTGATGCGCGATGCCTGTGCAGCAGCAGAGCTCATACAGCCCCCTCATCACGTTTTCCTGTGCCTACGTGGCCTGGCGCTTGCCAGCTGGAGATCCCCAAGAACCATTCCCTTCGGCCTTGCGCTTCGCGCCTCCTCCTCGCCCTCCTCCTCCGTTGTCGCGGTCGTCGCGCCACCGTCCCCGGCCACCGCCACCGCCACGGCCCCGCCAGCCGCCGTCGAAACCCCTCCCACCGCGCCCACGTCCCCGGCGTTTCCAATCGCCGCCTCCACCACGGCCGCCTCCTGGTGACTGCACGGGGTCAACCCATGTCGAGGGAGTTATTCCTTCTGGCCATTTCACAGAACAGAACACAGGGTGAGGAAGGTTGCAGCATCGTCGTTTCTCGTACCATCTATTGTGGCAAAATCCCTACAGAACCCAGGTTGGGGGTTTTAAACATATTTTCTAGTAATGCCTAGCCTCCATAAAAGAGGCCGCCATCCCGTAGTGAAGTGCTCGTAGGGCAATAACGAGAACAATAACACGCTGTAGCAGTAAGCGCGCTATTAACAGGAGCGCGCGTGCCAAGTCAAAATCCCTGCTGGCCTACAAGGTGCCGAGCCCATCTGGTCTGCGCTATCCTTACCTAGCTCTGCCGTGCTGCCCCCTAAGCACCACCCACCTCGCCTTCTCCAGCCTGCTCCTCATTCTGCTCCTCCTCCTCCTCAGCAGCAGCCTTCGCCTCCGCCTTGCCATCAGCCCCAAGGCCCCCCCCATCTTGCCCTTCTTCCTTCCGGACCTCTGTCGGTCCTTCTTCTTTCCCTTTCCCTAACCCAATAGATGGCTGTTGATTTTGAGAGCTCGGCAACGTTTGTGACTGGTACAGGAACTGCAGTTGGAGCTCCAGGGGGGTCGCGTCCGGAGGTATGATCTTGATGCCAGAGAGAACGTAACCACCGGTTCCGGAGCACGTCATGTGTGGGTGGGTCCGCGAGGGAAGCACCTGCAAGCGAAAAGGGAAAAGTTGTGCAACCGACGCGATGTCAAAATCATTGGATGCAACCAACACTCAAGAGACATACCCATCCATAGAGCATTAAAAAGACCACTATCGCACATTGCAAGGAATTTGGGGCGTGTGCGTGTGCGTTACTGATACACAACCGCGATGAAAGCCAAGGCAATGCAAATGTCGCGTGCATGTGCATGACAAACAGAGATGCGGATGCGGAAACATCAGCACTGCCGCGCACCTGGTACGGCCGCAGCCAGCTTTCCTGCAGCTGCAGCAATACCGCGTTACGGCTGGTCTGCAGGTGAGACATGGCTTCCGCCAGAGGTTGGGCCCAGGGGGAGAAAACGGCAAAGGTGGCTGACGGCGCCAGCAAGGGCCACACAGCCGCCAGCAGCGCGGTTGGATGCACGCGGGGCAGCGCCACCAGACAGCTATCGAAGCCTGCGGAAGAGGACACATCCGATGTCAGGCAAAAGAGAACCGACCCGTGGGTCAACATTGCCACCATTGCAGCATCCCCCGGAATTGCTCAAAAGGATACAACCAGGGCAACAGGATCGCTTAGCAATGTCTAAAAGCATACACTGATGCGGTAGGAGTTCATTTTGGAAGTTATGGTGCCGCTGCCGCTATGGAGACGCCTGGTGCAGAATACGAGAGTACAGAGAACCATGAACAGCAAGCAACACGCGTCTCAAAGCTGCTGGTGCCGCTGCCGCTGCAACACGTTGAACCTCACGCGTCTTCACGAGACTGTGGAGCCCACTGAAACTACCAAATACACACACGCGCGCGCGCGCGTTGAGCTTACAGTAAGGTTAAACCCTAAGTTAATGAATCACAGCGTGCACAGGAAGGGCTGGGGCTCAGTCATAGTCCACCTGCCGCGAAGAGATCCAGAAGCCTGCAAACACACGCACCCGACGTCAGTACGGCACGTAGATGCTCGGGCCGAGGAAGGAAGGCCCCGTAGCCGCCGCCACCGCCGCCGCCGCCGCCGCCACGGCGCTGCCGGGGTTCCCCCCCCACATCCACCTGCTCCTCCTTCGCAGCCGGCGGCCTTCCCACCGCTTCCTCCGCCACCTCACCGCCGCTGCCAGTCCGTGCCGCCGCCGCCGCTGCTGCTGCCTCCTCCACAAGCAACGCATTCTCAGTCACCAGAAACAATCCTGTCACTGCCACCGGTGCATCCCCGTCTCCAGCTGCTGAAGTAGAGACAGGCTGGTCGACCGGCCTCTCGTCGACCTCCATCGCCTCCGCTGTCCCACCATCACCTTCAGCACCGCCTTCAGCGGATGTAGCTGCCTCCACTGCCGTAGCCGTAGCAGCGGCGGCTGCCCTCGGCGGCGGGGTCTCGTCAGCAGCTGTAACCGGTGGCTGCTGCTGCTGCTGCTCCTCCTCCGCTGCCGGCTTATCTTCCTGCGGTTCGTTACGCTTCCCGTTTGCAGCTACGTCACTGCCGCTATTCCTGAACAGCTGACCCCTCACCGCTGCCTCCTGCCACACGGGGATTACAAATCAGAATGGAAGCACACACGAGCGGCAGCCAGCGGTGTCAGGAGGTGGGGACATTGAAAATGGGTCACGGTAATGCGGAAGGACCTTAATGGAGAGGAAGTTACCCGGAAGGTAATGGACCACAGCCAAACTGCAAGTGTTACCTCCCAACATGCTTCCCATTGCATCTCCTCCTCCTCCTTCCACACCCACCTTGTCACGCAGCAAGCTGCCCGCCGGTGCCGTGAAGAGAACGGAACGCTGAGCAACCGACAGATTCATCTGCCGTACAGCGTCCAGGGGAGCCTGAGAGCCGCAAAATAGAGAAAGGAAGGAGGAAAGCCACGACCGCGGCAGATAACATCAAGCAATATTGGGAGGGGCGACCGACGTGAAAGAGGTGGATGACATGTTCCATGCGGATTTGGGTTTGCGATAAATAACGGCGCCTTTTTGTTTGCGTCCATTTAAAGGCCCCAAGGCAGGATTATCAAAAAAGAGTATACAATAAAGAGGAGGGCTGTGCGGTGTTGTGTACAACACCGCACAGCCCCCGCTCCAGTGCTGTGTACAGGGTCTAGTAAACTAGACCCAATAAACATTATGCAGAGAAATCCGCGCGGCAGGGGCTGCAGCTAGGTGGCGGCCTAGTCTATAGGACAAGCGGAAAGCGCGGGAAGGCGAGGGGAGTGACCGCAGCCTGGTAATTCAGTTGAGGGTGCGACGCAGAGAGCGCGGTGCAGGACTAACCAGGCAGACCTGCTTCCGGGCTCTCTCACTCACCGGCCTGTCGTCTACTTGCAGTCCGCACACGGCGCCCACTCCTCCTAGCCGCTCCACGGCTGCTGCGGTCAGCACGCCCATGCACTGCTCAGCCACAAGAACCTGCAGGAGCTCAGATTACAGAGGAGCAGTGGAAGAGGTGGAAGATGGGGGTCGGTAGGAGGTGGGATACATACACATACACATGAGGGAAGAAGTGGGACAGGGAGGAAGTGTGTAGACTGTTCGGGGGCCCGGGAAACGGCGCATGCATGGAGGAGGCGACAAGGCGCCACGTCATGCACCGCGAATGTCATGAAGCCCCTGAAACTCCCTTTCGCAGGTCCTCTAGAGTCGCGCCGCCACTGGTAGAAAAGGCTGAGTGCAACTCGACTAGGCCTGCTGCTACAGTTTTTGTAGTGGTTACCACTACTCTATCTCATGGATGATGATAAACTGCAGAAAACTGCTCCAATAATTGATCTGTCCCTCCTCCTAACCATGGCTCCCCCGCTCCCCGCTCCCAGTAACCAGTTCATACATCCTAAAATCGTTGCAAGAACATTTTCTAATCTGAAGGGGAGGCAAGAAGTGAGGTGGCAAAGTCTGAAGACTGTTCGGGAGCCCGGAAACGGCGCACGCACGCACAGAGGCGACAAGGCGCCACGTCATGCACCGCGAATATCATAAAGCCCCTGAAACTCCATATCGCAGGTCCTCTAGAGTCGCGCCGCCACTGGAAAAAAAGGCTCTGTGCAACTCGACTAGGCCTGCTGCTGTTGCTAATTTTTTTCGAGCTGTTTCTTTAGCTACTATAACAGCTACAGCTTTAACTCTAAACTGTTATTACATCAACCGTTCCTGCAAAGCAGATCTCCTGAAGGGAAATCTCCATCTACCCTACTACTCGCTTCTATCCATCTACTATCCATCGCTCCCTCCCTCTCCCTCTCCAGCCATGCAAGCCGCGCCACTTTCCGCGCCTCAGGTCCTCTCAGACCGCAGCCTGCCTTCTCTGCCCTTCCTAGCTTTTTTTCCCCGAGTAGCACATCATCACAACATTGACTAGGTGCCATGACCAGATGCCGTATTCCTTTCCGTACACGTCATTCATTCATGGTCGCGATCGTACCTTGGCTCCTGCTGCTACATTCGCCAGTGACATCATCACGGCCAGACTGTCGTGACGCAAGTTGTAGACCCGCTCAGGCGCCTTGTCGTAGTAGGCCTGGACGGCAGATTGGGAAGGACAGAAACGACCGAAAGGAGGAGGTTGTCTCAGGAGAAGCTGTGGATGGTCCGTAAAGAGACAGATGCCGTCGTGTGTTCCCCGTGGAATTGTCCAGTCCTTGTGCCTTTAGCCTCCTAGAACCCCCCTCCTTCCTTTCCGTCCAAACATCTGGTCCTCTGGTCCTTTGCAACGGTTCGTAGAGGGGCGAAATATCTTTTGCAAGAGATCCTTTGCATCACTGAGTCGGTCGGTTGTGAGGAGGGAAATGCCAAGGCCAGGGGAAAACCACAACATCTCCAACTCCGCCCCCTTTTAATAAATCGCATGCCTTAGTTCAGGTTGAGGCCGTGTAATTATTATTATCACCAACACTACTACACTCATTATTGCTTCGTTGTGTTGTGCCAATGCTCGGTCCTCTGCCCGCCCTCCGTGCTGTCGTGCAAAACCTCAGCTGCGGTAAACATGACCTGCAAAATGTACCTCGCAGAGAATCCTCGCGCAGGGCTCCCGGACGGTGAGGTATGTCAGGTACTTTTTGGCCTTCCGCTTCTTGTACTTGTCCTGGGAGAACTCTGTCTTGTTCTGCAAATGTGGGACGTGTGGCCGAAGGGCATATAAAGGTAATGCGGCTTTGCGATAGGAGGGAAAAATAAATTGTTGGCTTGAATTCCACCTCCTTATTTGATAAAATATATACTCCGGCGATCGCAGATGGAAGGTACAACACATACAAAGCAAAGCGAGGCCAATGAAATGTGCGACGGACAGGTGTGTCAGCCCGCGCTCGTCCCAAATCTCCGTACGCATGCACGCATGCCTTACGTGAATACGTCGCTCACATGTTCTCAAGGCGTCATGCTGCAAATTCAGGAAACTGCGGATGCTCGGCCTCTGCGTCGCCCAGGCAAGGCAACAGACCCGTCCAGACATACTGACAGACTGACAAACGCCTTACAACTCGCACCTGAAAGGTCGCGCTGTTGCTACAGAGCGCCTGAATGATTTCAGCACCGGCCTGGAATTGCAACAGGAGCAGCAACAGCTTTCATTAAAACCGGATCTAATCAAGCTCCAAATTCAAATGGAGCTGAGCGCTAAGGCAGGGTGTCGTACATGCGGTACAGCTCAAAACGCCACAAGCCATGCAGCAAACAACAGCGATGAGATGCACAGCACAGCTGCGACAGGCATCTTATCAAACGAATCCGCCGAGTCCAAAAGGCAGTTATGGGACTCTACCTTTCCTGACTTTTTGAGCTCCTCAATCTGTTCCTGCGTTAGCTTCTGGTTCTCAGTGTTACGGTCAAACAGGTCGCTGTTGTTCTTCTCGGTCTCGGCGATGCGCGTAATTTCGTCGGCGGGTGGCCTGAACGCGCATGGCAAAACACGGTGGCTTTGTTTGTAACAACGACAACCCGCGGGGTGAAGAGGGTGAGGAGGGCGAGGAGAAGGAAAACACGCGAAGGGAAAAAACAGCTGTTCACGTCACAAGCTCCAATCGGGACCTGCCAAGGGCCGCCAGGTGGAAGGACCCCCGTCAAATCCTAGGGAACTGGTTGAGGACGTGGTGGCGACCATGCGGACATGAGTTCCAAGTAAGAAGTAACAGAGCGATGTGGGTCAGGGCATGCCATCAATGTTTTTATTAGCTAGCTAGCGCGTGCAAGCGTACTTCGTATTGAACAATATTCGTAATCCGTATTGGTATAGCCGAGAACCAGCACAGGCAAAGAAGAAGCAGGCAGAACCATCTCGGCGAGGAAATAGCAAGGAAAGGATTCAGCAGTCTTAAGCTAAGGGGAGCAAGACGCCGCCCTGGCTTCCGCGTAACCACGATAGAGGGAAGGCGCCTGGGATGCACAAGGCTAAAGATGCGGCATCTATGGGCTCAGGACATGTTCACCAGAAACGCCCGCGTAACAGGCAAAAGCGCGCACCCAAATTTCAAAACATGTGCCTGACACTGTTCACGTGTGTGGTTCGTGCCACGCCTCTCTCTCAAGGTTTCGGCACGGAAGTGCCCCAACTGCTGCGAATACACCATGAAAGTTTCTATGTTCTATAAATCTCCACAAATCTGGTTATGTTTACTTGGGATTTTTGCGACAAGCTTGAAGAAGGCATGTGCATCTCGTGCATGGCGCGGGGAGTTAGGGCCTACTAACGAGAACTAATTGCAGCTGCAGGAGCAGACTAACTCCCGTTTGGGGGAGGAGACAGAGCGGTACCGGGGGTTGCGGGGCAAGCTATGCAAGCGCCACAAACACCTTTCCGGCTGCGATCGCCGCCCCAATCCCTCAAGACGTACAAGAGGACACGCTGCAAGGACCTTCCGTCGTTGGTAACCTCAAATAGAGCGCCATACGGTGCGCCAATGAGAGGCGCAGCAGGCACCAGGAACTTGCCTACCCGAATTTTGCTGCACGAGGAGAGCAATGGGCATGTGCAGTTGGCAAACGTGAACCCTTTCAGTCACGGCATGTTTCGCAGCAGCTAAAGGCCGTGCATGGACAACTGCGATATGGAGTTGCGGTGACAGCTGCCGCCTCATGTGCGACATACGTACCCTGTAGCCTTAAGCTTTTGGACAATCGACAGTTTTTCACCATTGACGTCGAGGACCAGGTGGTCTCCCTCACAGATGAGACCGTCCGCCGCCATAGTGGCAGTCAAGGCAGGATCCTGGTGCTAACAATATGGTTTTTGTATGTACCACTAGTGCATGACAAACATAAGAGAGAAGAAAGGTGAGGATTCTGCGATGTGTAATGGGCCCATCGCTCACGAACGAATTTTCCGTGGGCGGCGCCGTCATGGCCTGAAGATGAAGCCCATCCACTCATAACAATATAGTGTTAGTCTGTTATAGTTTGATGAGCGAGGCGCTTTGTCAACGTAAGTCGGTCCAATTTCGCAAGTCAAGGGCGAGGGTGACCTGCACCCTACTACCGTTGATAGGAATCTAGGGTATATAAACAAGATTATAGGATTTCTGACGCTTCATAGCTTCGTCGCGAACGTCACCTTCGGCAACAGTGCGGTCGCGGCCCTGGCGCTGCAGGCGTTGAGGCAGCTTCCTGGCGGTCAGCTTGGCTGCTGGTCGGCAACATGGCAAGCACTATCCGCTTTAAATTCCGAGCTGAGCTGAGCTACAGCAACCTGCCTTTCGATGGCCATTACATCACGGTTGGCGAGCTTAAGCGGCTTATTGCAGAGAAGAAGGGTCTGGGCATTGATGCTGCTAACGAGTTGCAGCTCACGGATGCAACCTCAAAAAGAGATTATGACAACGACGCCGAACAGGTTCTCAAAAATTCCTCGGTGATTGTGAAGCGGGTGGCAGCCGCAGCACGGCCAAAGACCATTTTAAGTAGCGTGGCTCAACCTGCTGCTGCACCTGCATCTGCAACAACCGCACCGGCTGCTGGGGCGCCGGTACCGGCCACACTGGCAGCAGATCTTGGGGCACCAGCCCACGTCGAGGACGAGTTTGGTGAAGACCCTCTAGCAAAGGCCGCTGTACAGGATGAACAGCAAATGATGGCTTTCCTATCGCAAGCTGCCAAGGGTGTGGGGCTTGAGTCTCAGCTTGCCCTGCAAGCTGCTGCAGGACGCGGTCGAGGCCGAGGGCGTGGCTTTGGCCCTGGCGGGCGTGGCGGCCGCGGTGGCATGATGAACCGGGAGTGTTTGCGGTGTGGTCAACTCGGCCACTTTATGAACGAGTGTCCCACCCAGGGCGACCCAGCTTACGACCGGCGCATCAAGGTTCCGTCTGGCATCCCCGCCTCCAAGATTCAGCGCAATGCTGACGGGAGCCTTTATCTACCCGATGGCGAGATGGGTGAACTTGCAGCCAACACGCAGGCATTCAATAAGCTTGCAGCGTTAATGGGTCGCAGCAGACCCGCGGCCGCTGGCTCTGCTGGTGCGGCTGCTGCACAGGCTGGGCAAGACGGGCCATCTAGCTCGACTGCCCAAGCAGCTGCCACAGTGTCGACAAGCGCGCCGCAGCCGGCGTGGGCACAACCCGGTCGGGGCGCTGCAACCGAGCCACCGCCGGCACTAAGCAACCAGCCCCTTCAACACACGCAACAAGAGCAACAACAACCTAGCCTTTTCCAGCAGCAACAAGTGCTTCAACAACAGCAGCAACAGCAACAACAACAACTTTTGCAGCAACAACGACTCCAACAGCAGCAACAACAGCAAATGTTTCAGCAGCAGCAACAGCAATTGCTTCAACAGGATCAACAACGTCAAACCGTGGAGTCTGCAACGGCGATGCAACAATCGAGCATGGGGCCGCCGTCCTCGAACTGGCCCTCGGCTTCCGCTGCTCCTGACCAGAAATCCCTCTTCCCAGCGCCAGCCAGCGCAGCGCCAACTGCACCTGGGTTTGAGCCCTCGGTTCGTCCCGCTGGAGCACAGGCAGTACAGCCCAAGCCGGAACCACCCTCGCATGCAGAAGCCAAGCCCCTTGGGCCGCAGCTCTTTGACGATGACTTTGACGACGGAAACGCCAGGCAGCCAGCCCAGCAGCAGCCCATCAAGCTCGCGCTTGGAATGGATGATGCTGTCAGACGGTCCACTTCTCCTGCTCCGTCACGGCTGGCTGGGTCGCGCGCGCCGGGACCAGGGCTAGGGCCGCTGCCTGGGGAGGGTGGGACAGCTGCCACTGCAGCCGGAGCCATTGGCCGTGACGGCAGTGGCGGCCGGGCCCAGGACCGCGGCCGCGACGTAGATCCAGATGAGCCTCTGCTGGCACCGCTACGCGGTGTGGGTTGCACCCGGGTTCAGCTGACGGAAGCGCTGCCTTTCCTGCGCGAGCTGCTGCCAGGCAACATGGCGATGACCGACTTGTTTAGGTACGTTGCTTGAGACGCGGCTTGCATGCGTTTGGCCCTGAAGGCTTGCATGCGTTTGGCCCTGAATTGGATTGGCGGGTCATTGAGGTGGCCTGCTGACGACAGGAAGCCGGATCTGGGCGAAAGAGGAAACGGGATCAGTGGGGCACTGGGGTTTATGGCAGGAAGTATGTGGCAGCGCTTGCGTATCGACGAATTTGCGCTGCATCGCACAACGTCCAGTCATGGTCGCTGTCTGTCCGGTCGTCAATCTCGCTCTGGGAGCACCTCACCCTCGCTTTCGCTCCTTCTAGCAAGAACCTCTTCCGTACCTCGCCACCTATCATTTGGTTATCTCCTTGTCTTCGTTCCTCGTCTATTTTGCAGGGCTTTTGGCAGCGGTCGCCCCCTGACCCGCCGCGAGTTCTTAGACATGCAGGCTGCGGCCGCGAAGTTGGCAGCGGAACGTGCTGGCAGGCGCGGAGGCGCCGCCGCAGCGGATCGTCGCGACCACGGCGGGGACCGTCACGGCACCGGCGTAGGTCACCGCGTGCAGTCCGACAGGCACTATCACGCCGACCGGGAACGTGATCGGGAGCGAGATCGGGAGCGAGGGGGGCGTAGCCGCAGCCGGTCGCATGGCCGGCGATCAAAACGGTCGCGTTCAGGCAGCGGCGGTCGCGGCAGATACTCCCGCTCGCGATCACGGACGAGGTCGCGATCGCCTACGTCTCCAAAGCGGCGGCGTGGACGCGATGATTTCGACGGACGTGACGGTCGGCAGGAGAGGGCGCGGGACCGCGGACGCGACCGCGACCGGGAGCGTTACAGGGAGCGGGAGCGGGATCTCGAGCGGGGCGACCGGGAGCGGGGACGTGACAAGGAGCGGGAACGTGGCAAAGGGCGAGATGGTCGGGATGCGGTTCGCCAACGGGAGCGTGGGGAGCAGGGGGATGGAGAGCCAGACGCGCGGCGAGAGGGCACTGAAGCCTCCCCCTCCGTGCACCCGCGGGAGCGGGATTCACAGCCGCGAGATCCGGGGCCGCGCCGGCAGCGTTCGAGGAGTCCCGCTGGGCCAGCGGCGGTGGCGGCAGGCGAGGGCGGTGCTTCGGCACGCGGCACGAGGGCGGAGTCCAAGGGAGAGCAGGCGCAGCAGGTGAGCAGTGGAGTCGGTTGCCAAGCTGTTGGGAGAGCTGTTGGGATTGAACCAAATCGAAGCAGACGATGTACTTGGCTGTCTTGTTGGCTGCCACCAAAAGGGGTCTTGGTGGTCCAACTCAGCCGATCCTCCTCGCAACCTCTCGCTGGCTGAGCTGGTCTTGACGACCATCCCGCCGGGACGGCTGGCATGTTTCACTCCTGCTCTGTTACTTGGATCGAAAGGTCGTGCCGGTGGTAATCTTGGTTATGGGGTCCTTCTTCTCCACTTCAGTCCGTCCGGCGGGCACCTAGCTTTTGAGCTATTTCATATGATGCGTATTTTGCATTTGGATGTTGTTAAATCCTTCTCTGTATGGTCTGCTTTGGTTTTCCCTTAGGGCGTCTCGGGCGATGTGGCTGCCAGGCAGCGCGGCGTGGGCGACAGAGGGGGCCCCGCGGGTGGCGGCTCTGAGCGCCGAAACGGCCCTGCCGCCGCGGCGGCTGCGCCGGCGGCCAGCGCCGGCGTTGCCTCCGAGCCGCCTTCCGCAGCTAGCTCGGACAGCGAGCGGCCCCCGGTGGGGCAGGCCCGGGCTGCTCCGCCCGAGGAAACGAGTCTGGCCGTTCGTCCGCCGTCGTCTGGGCCGCGTCCGAGAGACAGCGGCGACGGGGCTGTCAGCGAGGGTTTCGAGGCTGAGGGGACACGGCGAGTGGAGGAGAAGAAGCGGAGGAGAACGGCGGCATCGGGACACGCGCCCTCCGAGCCAGCCGAAAGAAGGTGCTGCTGCTTCTGGCGGTGTCGCCGGTCTTGCTATCTTGGGAACGAATGTTGCAGTTCTTTGGTTGTTCACGTTGTCCTTGCTGTTGCTTTTTGTTGTAGTATTCCTGTCTCAGCAAGGGCAATACAGGCTGCAGCTAATGCTGCTGCCAAGGTCTGTCCCCCGATGCGCCATGCGCTTCCAGCATGTTCCAGCTTTCAACCGGGCGCGTGCAACCCTGCCCTAAACAGCAGCAGCTCGTCAGGTCGTCAGGTCGTTAGAAATGCCGCAGGTTCATTTGGGATTTCCCCTTGTCTAGCCCCCAACTCCCGCATTGGGGGAGTTCTCCCACCACCCCGCCCTATTGTGTTGTTCTGTTGTTCCTGTGCTGCTAATCCCTCCCATTTAGTTCCTTTGCTGCACGTTTTCACGAAAGGTGCACTTGCTTTGTCCATTCCCAAGCGGGCATATTAAGGAATATTTATCCCCTGTCCGTCGAAACATATCCATCTATCATCCGACATGCGTTGTATATATGACATCCGACATGCATCGCAACGTGTTGTGCCTTTGTTGTCCTGTCTCGTAATTTCCATTCTTCGCCGAAATTCATCATGCCGCATGCCGCCCGCTATTTTCTCTTTCTTGTCGCATCCGTAATCTGCCTTGCAAATTGCACATCACCTTGAGCTGCAAAAACCCCACGCCCAGCACATCCACGCGCGTACCATGGCCTACTTTTGCGCCATCCTCAACCACATGGCCTCGGCTACCTCCGGGAATCATGCGCTCTCCCGCGCACGCCGTAATCACCTATCCATTTCCCGCGGTTTCATCTATCCATTTCCCGAGCTGCCAGCACAGGCACATGAAAAGAATTCCGCCACGGGGTTCACAGCTCTGTGCCTTGCCTCTCTGTATCACTATACCCGCATTCTTTCTTGCTGCACCGCCGCATTAGACTCTCTGTGTAAGTAGTAAGACAGCTTTATTGACGTCTCGTTTGCACTGCCGGTCATTGGGAGTGCCAGCGTGTGCAGGCAGATGCCGCACCGCAGCGCTGTGGTTGCCGAATCGGAGACGTTGCACTGACTGTGACTCAGGCCGTAGGTTCTGGCCGAAGTGTGTCGCATCGAACGAAGCGGAGCGTGCATTCACTTATTCATATGTGTATTTTCGGACTCGAGCTCGCACCAGGTGGCCGTCGTCCGTATTTGTATATTTTCTAGATAGCAGGTCCGTGTGCGATTTTCAGCCTGATTGAGGACTACAGGCCATGTAGCTTATGAAGCAGAGATGCCGCCTTTCATTAGGTACTGGAAGTTTAGGCCATTTGGTACGTGGTGGATTGGTGGATGCAGTGGCTCTCATTAAGAGACATGTCAGGGTGTCTTTCTCTCCGTTGTGTACTTGTCTGAAACGGCTTTGTTGTGAACCCATGGACGGAAGCAGACGCGATGACTTGAAAGCTGTGAGGCACGTCTGGAGATGAAGACTAAACTTCCTAATGGAAAGCCATTTGGGTCGCCTCGCATGTCATGTACTGCCGGACGGTCTGCAAGGGGTTGCAAGGAGGTAAACGCGCCCATATATTTTGGATGGAAGGCATGTTGAATAGACGGACAAATGGTGCGTGCGTGGAGTGGACGGGCAGATGATGGTGGGCAACGTTTTTCGCTTGCCCTCTACTCCACCCCGCACAGCGCTGTCTTTGTATTTTGTGGCACACATTCTCTCCCGCCCTGGAAATGGGCAGCGTGTCGCTGTAACGTCAAAAGGAGCGTACAAATCCGTCGAGAAGCGGTTCCATTATTTCCGAGTGTGTGAGCATGTGACGGTTATACCTTCTGTGGAGGGAACTTAGGGTTTCAGACCCTTTGGGGGCATCCGGTAGCTTTGCTTGTCTGTGAGCGCTCGGGCTTGCTGCTCTTGTCCAATCTTGCATGCAGTGAAGACTCTTTAGGTTGCCATGTGGGGGGGCCCGTACGCTTTGTGAGGGCATTTCGGACCGACTGCTGTAGTACGGCAACCTAGGATAGCAAGAACGTGGGGGGACCTTACCCGACACAATCCATCCGAACTCCTTGACAGCCATTATATCATTACCTACCGTCCCGGCTACTACGGCTGCGGCCGCGGCCGCGGCTGCTTTGCAGACCATGGCATGTAAGGAATTGGCGGCATGTCGATTACGTGTGTTTATTATGTTGGGCCGTTCTTCTTCTTGGGCATTTCGCGCGTGCTCATCTGGTGCACCGTTATCCCGCGCACCATCTGGCATGAATTGTGTCTGGACTGGATGCTACACGGCCGGGTACACGGGGCGGCTGTTAGCAAAAGGTCCTTTACGCGCTGTGGGAAGGGGATATGAGGGGACCGCATGCCAAGGTGTAGACCGTGGAGCAGATGAGCAGGTGGCCAATAAGCAGAAGTAGAGCTGGGTGGTTTGCTTATGTACGACATGCATGAGAAGTGCAGCGGGGCAGGGCTCCGAAACCCTTTCAATGCCGTGCCAGTACACGGCAGAAGACACAGCGGCATCTGGAAAGCTGCCGCTTAGCCTGCTTATCAACTACCAAACTCACCACCTTTGGCGCGGCCGTGGCTTCAACCTGTTGCCGACCCTAGATCATCATCCAGTATATGATCATCATCCAGCCGCTTCACGTGAAAGGCCGTCGCCTTGTGAACCACGTGCCGACATCATGCCAGTGCTTTAGCGGCCCTTCGTGCCTTGTTATGGGTGTATTACAGTGTTTTGCCTGTATGTGTGGCTTATCCCTCCTTAAATTGGCGTGGGCCAGCAGGACATCGCTGCTGCTGATCTGTGTCTTCGGACGAGTCATGTGTTCCCTATTGGCGTTTGGGTTCGCGACGGTGGTGTTGCATGTACACCGTACGCTGTATGGAGTCATTGGTCCGTCACCTAGCACACACGATTTCTTCACGATTACTGTTTTACGTTGTACCTGTATCCTTTTGGGTTTTGCCATGACCGGCGCGTGTGTCCATCCTCGGTGTACCTATTACCGCTGCTGCTGCCGCACGCATCTTATCGCTTCACATCCCAACGCCCTGAAACCCGCGTCCCGCAGCCTTACCTTCTCTCTTTTACTTCTCCATCGCGAGTTGAGTTGTTGTTCGCTGCTGCTGCTGCTGTTGCTGTTGCGGTAATCGATCTTAACTTGGCACGTATCTCCGTTGATCCTGGGGCGGGGTGTTCGTTCTCTGTCGTGGTGGATCCCAATAGCAGGAGGGGGTTGGCTCCCCGGGGTTCCTAACCTAACACCACCCGACAGCGACAGCAGAGCGGGAGGGCAGGGCTCGGGGAGCCGCCTTTTACGGCACCCGGGGGCGGCCCTCCTCACAAGCGAGTATTAGGTGTATGCTCGTCTTGGTGGATTTCCTAGCACAGCGGCAGGAGGTGAGAGTCGGTAAGAGAGGCTTTTAAGAGGCGCTTCAAAAACCAGGAGAACAAACAGCTGATCCCTTTGGTTAAGGGAGTGGCGGAGTTGTGGCTATAACTTATAACATGGTCGGAGCATGGTCCACATGCACCAGCATGGCAGGTTTGGCGCGATGGGGTCATCCAGGTATATCATCCCCTTCCTGGACGGTGCTGGGGGGTGGGGCCAAGCAAGCGGAAGACAGCGTAGGGGGGAGCAGGCTTGGACAGCTGCACATACGTACGTATAGACGTACATGAACTCAGGAACACGATTATAAGGCTGGCTAACGTTGCGCCGCGATTGGGGGGAGGGGTAACTGGGGAGGTCTCGGAACGTCGTCCTCACACATTTTTTTAGGGGAACAGGAGTTGCTGCGGAAGGGGCGGCGGCAAGGCTGTGGGCGTGTTCAATGTAGGCCGTGTGTGGGGGGGATGGGTGGGCCTGGGAGCTCTCTACATGCTGTGTCCATCAACAACTGCTGCTCTGCAAATTTTTTAATTTTTAGTATACATAAATATTATGTATATATTTATGTTTATTATGTGATATATGTATCTATGTGTTTCGAGGTCTTGAAAGGATTTTAAAAAGTCCATAGGAGATGGCACGGTTGCGCTCGGAAGGGAGGGAAGGGAGATGCGGGATCTTCCGGGGGCCGGGTGGTCCTAAGGGAGATCGAGAACCCGAACGATGGGTTTGCCTCTGGGAAGAGTGCCTTAGAGACGCGAGCGTGTGGATGATCTGACCTGAACTTTGACTCGTACGTCTTTGCTTTGGCCGCAAATTAGTCTCGTTAGCGCCCAAATGGCTTTTTCATGTGCTTTTGCGCCTTCCCGCCTCCGGACGGGGCAATTGGGCGACTATAGAAATCTGCGCGAGTGATGATGGTGATGATATGATGACGATGGTGGTGATGGTGGTGGTGATGATGATGTTGATGTTGAACCACTGTAAAGGGTGAAAAGAGGGAGGTCAGAACGGCGAAAGGTCGGACTTCGACGACTAGCGTTATGTGAGTTCAAGTTCATCGCCTGGGGATTCCCACACACCACAAAGGTTTTGCGATACGGGCTGGTTGATTCCAACTGTTAGATTACGTTATAGATTAATCTGCTGAACACTTTTATAAAATGCTGTTGACAGAGCCGCACGGTGGTGTGGTGGTTTGCTGCTGGTGGTGATGCTGTTTCCTGTCTTGCTTTTTGTTGGAATGTTTTGGTCGGGCGTTTGTTGGAGGTAACTGGAACTAACCGAAGCAAAGTCTGCAAGAGGGTATAGCTTTTAGTTTTGAACTCCCAGGATTGGGTTCTAAGATTGAGCCTGACGGCTAAGGTTCTGCGCGCATGTGCGCACACGCGCGCGCGCGCGCGTGTGTGTGTGTGTGTGTGTGTGTGTGTGTGTGCGACGCGTCATCGGTTTTGGGTCCCCCCTGAGATGAGAGTCCTTGCCTCGCTCTGCCGTGATGGTCTGGGTCGATTATTGCAGCGTGTGTTTGTGTGGAAGGGGTGTTGGAAAGCGAGAAGCGCAGCGCAGAGCTTTCCGTTTGTCTGTCTGTCTACATGTCGTGTTTTCCTTCCTCTTTTCAGCGCTGTGATTGCGCTGTGGGACACCCGTCCATTGATTCCACAACATGTCTAATGACCTAATCACATTCTCGAATCCGGTTGCATCGTACTTGTACGGAATGACATCTCGTACATTATGGATACTAGGGGATTTTATTGGCCGCCGTTGGAGGTCGCAATCCTGAAGCTGGTAGCGCTCGTGGCGGTGTACTTTCGAGAATTTTACATCTTATGGCAAATGTCGCTCACCTCCTGCCACCACCTCCGCCACTGCCGTACAACTTGGCACTCCCCCCATTGTTTCCATGATGTATGTATGTTTGTCCCCGCACGTGCAGCACTTGACTTGCTCGGTAATAGGATCCTCGACGAAATTGATGTCGTCGTCGTACTGTACGAGCTGCCGTACAGGATGAAATTTTGAGTTCCGACAAACTTAGATCCGTAAAAACACATCTGCATGAAGCCCACAACAAGCATACATTCATTGGCTGTGAGAGACACTTTCCTTTCCGATGATTATATAATTATGTTCGTACGTTTGACTGTACAGGGCCATACTCGCAGCGCTTTTCCCCGCTGGCTGACGTCCATTGAATGGGGGGTCAACCCCCCATCAAACGGGAGGGGGAGAACAGGCGAAGTTACAACCCTCGACAACCCACTCTTATTCCACCCGCAATGCAAAAAAAACATCCATCATCCCAATCCAGCAGCGTTTGACCCGCATGTGTCGTACTTATTCCTGTCTTGCCGTACCATGCCGTACTACCTTTTTTCAATCGTTCAGGGAGCTATTGCGGAAGGCCGGGCAGCAAACCGGCCCCTCCGGTGCCAGTACAGCAGCAGCCATCCGCCTGGTGCCGTACGACGTTGAGGAGGAGTCGGGCAGCGCCGATGGCGGCGACGACGCCGACGACCGATCGGATCGCGGCGGCGATGATGATGACGATAGCACTGACAACGATGACGATGGCGGCGAGAGGGCCGCCGGGCCCCGAAATCATCAGCACCACCACCACCACCACCAGCCGTTGCCACACAAGCCGGTGGCTTCGGGTCGTGGGGACTTGGTATCCGACCGCTCCTGCTCTCTGACATCCGGTGGTGGCGGCGGCGCGGCCGCCGCCGCCGGCGGCGGCGGCGGAGCCACCGCCGCTGGAGCCACGGCATCTACCCAGGTGACGGCGGCGGCGGCAGCATCCTCCAGCGATAGCGACAGCAGCGAAGACCGACGAGCGCATAAAAAGCACAAAAAACACAAAAAAGAGAAGAAATCCAAAGAACATAAAAGGGATGGCGGCGGTGGCGGCGGCGGCAAGCACAAGGTTAAGAAGGAGAAAGAAAAAGAGAGGAACAAGGACAGGGATAAGACTGCGCTCCGGGACCGCGAAGGAAAGGTGCGGGACGGCCGGCGGGGCGGTGGCGGTGGCGCGCCGCCGCCGTACGACGATGACGAGGCACCGTACGACGACGACAAGTACGACAACGGGTACGGAACGAAGGGTCTAGGGGATTTGGCATGGCAAGGATTCCGGAAGCGGAAGCGAAAAATAGGCTCTGCTTCGCATCCTGAATGGGCATCGTCAGATCCTGCCGGCGTTGGCTGCTGGCTGCCGGTACACACTCCCTCAGGACTTCTCCCTCTTTACCGGGGGATAGGCCCCCGCGGACCGCAACACACACACACACACACACACACACACACACACACACCTTTTGGGGGGGCCGGTGCAGAGCTGCATGGTTGCGTGGATTTCCAGTATACGGACTTTAGTATAGGATCCTCTCTCGTATGCGCTGTCTGTCTGTCTGTCTGTCTGTCTGCTGCAATGTCGCTCCTGTCGCTCCTTTTTGGTTTGCGGCTTTTCGGTTTTTCTGTGAAAAGCGGTGTAAAGCTTTTTTCCTTCGAGAGGAAATCACTTATGTATGTATGTATGTATGTCATCTACCTTGATCCTCCCGTACTCCCGCAGGGATCGGGGTTACGACCCGGAAGATTACCACGGGGAGGGTTTCGCGGAGGACCGTGACGGGGAACGGTACGCGCCGTCGACGTCTCGAGGAAAACACGGTGCCGCCGCCGCCGCCGCCGCCGCCGCCACGTCGGCGCCGTCGCCTGCTGGCAAGGCTGCGGCGGTGGTGGCGACGAGCAGTGGCAAGGGCGTCGGCAGGAGAGCTGAGGATGGCGGAGGCGGCGGTCGGGGACACGAGCGAAGCCGGAGTCGTAGCCCCGTGCGCGGCTCCCGAGGCGGCGGCGCCGGAGCGGACGTGGGACGGTACGGCAGCGGCCGCGGCGGCGGGAGCCGCCGCGGCGGCGGCGACCATGACGATCACCATGACCTGCCGGAGTCCGACGGAGGTTCGCGGCGCGGCCGCATCGAATGGGTATTGCGAAAAGGCAGTGGCGGCGCCAGCGCCGGCGCCGGCGCCGGCGACTCCACCGTTTTTGCTGGCGCCGCCGGCGGCGCCGCCGGCGCGAAGGATGCAGAGGGCTCTCGCGTGCCTTCGCGTCAGGGGGGCTTCGCGGCGCGTATGTTCAATCAAACGTTGGGGCAGGCTCTGCAGGAACAGCAGCAACAACGTCGCGGCGGCGGCGGCGGCGCTACTGCCGTAGGAGATGACGCGGCCAGTGGCGGCGGCGGCGGCGGCGGCCGCAGCAGCGATCGCTGGCTTGAACGTGAGACTATCCCCCGGCGGGAGGAGCGTCGAGAGGTTCGGGAAGCTTCTCGAGGCGGCGGCGGCGGCGGCGGCGGCGGTAGAGGTCCCGGTGACAAAGGGGGGGACAGCGATGAGGACCGGCCTCGGCGGCGTTACCGCGACTGACTGCCGTACATTCATCCCATCCATCAAGAATAACATTTGAAGGCCGTGACGGGCGGTTGGGCCCGCCAAAATGTACGGTGCGGCATGTACGGCTACGTACCGCCCGTACCGTGAGGCCCTTGCCCCCGTGTACGGGGTGCTGTCCTCCTCTAAGTTTTAGTTAGTTACGTGGAGGCCAGCACTCCCACCTCCATTTCTCACTCGCACGTGTATAGATGTATCTTTGCTATTTTTCTGGTCCTGAAAGCTGATGGAGCTTGCGCAGCTAGGCGGGGTTAGGCGGGGGCGGGTAAGGGATCGTGTTTGTCGGTCGAAAGGAGGGGCTCGGCGGCGGGGGAGAGGGGGAGAAAGGAGGGAACGAGGGCAGTGACCACCGTCCTGGCGACCTCGCCCGCATTCGTTTCGTTCCGGTGTTGTTGTACAAAAGCACGATGTACGGTGTCGTACGGTGTACGGCGATGATGCCGATTTGGTTGGGAAAATGTATGACGTCTAGGGACATGTATGTATGTATGTCGCTGTGGAGGAGGAGGGGACGAGCAGCACGCAAAGGTCTGTCATGGAGCGCGCCCCAATGCCACATCAGGCTGTACGGCAGTACGGCAGTACAGATGAAAAAAAGCGGTGGGAAGGGCTGCGGGAAGGGGTTACGGGAGCCCAAGGGTTTGTGAAGTTTGTGAGACTCCGGTGGACTCTGTTGTGAGGGGGGTGGGGGCAGATGCGGTGTTGACGGTGGTGTGGTGTGGATCTACGACCTATGTGTGGATCGACAGCTTCCTTCTTGTCGCATTGGCGGGCGACAGCCTTTTCCTGTCAATGGTGGGTGCAAAGAGCACACACACACACACAGAGGGGGATGCCTGTCTAGGTGTGTGTGTGTGTGCGGAGCTGGTCGCAGGAACAGATTCAACTCCACAGGGATGGCGTTGGGGCACCAGCAGCCACACGAAGGGCTGACCGCCTGGGCTGACCACCTGGAGGCGCGGCTGCCGCTCGAGTGGGATTTCTGTAAATTGAGGAGGTTATTGCGGGGGGAGGAACGGGGGGGGGGGAGAGAGCCGCGGGTAGAGGAGCATCATGGCCACACATGCCCAAAGAACTGCAGATGAGGGGGAGGAAGACGATCACGAGCGAGTGAAGGAGGAGCGGGGCGAGGGGGAGGGGGATGAGAAGGAGGAGGAGGAAGAGGAGGAGGAGGAAGAGGAGGGGGAGGAGGAGGAGGAGGGGGAGGAGGAAGAAGAGGGGGAAGAGGAGGAGGGGGAGGAGGAAGAAGAGGGGGAAGAGGAGGAGGGGGAAAGGAAGCTATGTTCGGGCCCTGATGTTGCTCTCATGCGGAAGGTGTGGTGTTCGTGTGTGGTGGGTTTGGGCCGGGGGGGGGAGAGGGAAAAGAGGGGCCCCACTAGCCAATGATGGCGGGGCCAGCAGCGGCAGCAGGGGAAGGACGAGGCTGGGGATGGTGCGGGCGGACGGGGTCGACAGAAAATGCGGCAGATGGCGGGAAGTCATTTCTGAAGGGAGAGAGTGGAATGGACGATAAGCTGGAGCTGGCTGCGGAGAGGGGGGGAGAGAGAGCAAAGGCTGCGGCAGTGGCGGGGCTGGAAGAGGAGTATGTATGCATGTATGTATGTGTGTGTGTTTTCGCAATGGCCTGTTTAGGAATGGGGGCCTGCGCTGGTGGGGATGGGGGAAGTTGGAGTTAGGGTTTTAAGGGAGCCCCTCTCGCCCTCCCCCCCGGGGCATGGCATGTTTTTGAACAGAGAGTTAGCTCGGTTCATCTCTGTATGTACGTATGTACCTATGTACGTGCGTATGTATGTATGTCGTTGATAGCACTGTGGGCTTCAAAGCCGGGGGGATGCCCAGGGCCGAAACACAGCGCGGGGGGGGGTGCAGATGCACACGGCTGGTTAGTCTCGTGCATTCCATATATATGTATGTATGTATGTTTTTTCTTTTTTCTTGTTCTTGTACCGCCTTATCCGCCCAGTAGAGTACCCGGAGGCGCCTGCTCTTGTTTGCTCTCTTGATGTTTGCCCTCTTTACGGTCTCCGTGAACAGCGTAATGGAGACCTTTTTGTCCGTCGTTGTCTGCTGTCCCAGTCGTCAAGCTCGATTTCTTTTGCCTTGTTCTTTTTTTCTCTCCATCTGCCTTTCTCTCTCTCTCTCTGCGTTGCTCTCTGCCGCCGCCGCCGCCGCTGGCGGGGTATCCAAAGATGCTTCTGGCTCCGGGACTAACAACAATCAGCGATGGCTGCGACCGAGGTGGCTGGGTGGCGGCACACATCGCCAACCGCCGCAGACCTCCCTCCGGCCCGAAGGGCCCTCCCGCTCCTCCGCGGCCCCCTTCTGCAGCTTTTCTTTTTCCCTGGGAAGCTGGGAGTTAGCTGGGAGGTTTTCTTTCCTTGGCTTTTCTTTTTTCTTGGCAATTTGGAAACGGAGGACTTCGATGGAGGAAATCTCGACGGAGGAAATCTCGATGTTTGAGTTCCATATGGTTAGGGGTGAGGGATTGGCAGCCTGGGGTTAGATTAGGAGGGGGGGGAGGAGGGAGGGGTTGTGGTGAAGGGGGGATGAGGAAGGATGGAAGGGCGTTGACGATGGTGATGGCGATGGCGATGGTGATGGCGATGGTGATGGTGATGGCAATGGTGATGGCAATGGTGATGGCAATGGCGATGGCAATGGTGATGGCGATGGTGATGGCGATGGCGATGGTGATGGATTGTGTTAGGGGGTGGGGCCCCACGGCGACCCACTACATCCCGACATGCATTCCCCCAGACGCGAGGTGTTTCTATGTGCCCCTCTTTGACGGGAAAGAGGTGGATAGAGGGACTCACTCTCTCTTTCTTTCTTTCGCGCAAGCGTGTGTGTGTTTTGTTTTCATGTCTTGTGTGCACGTGTCTCATATGTCTTCGTCTATTCTGAAGTCCCGTTGCGTTTCTGTTGGGTAGGAGAAGATGAGGGGGAGATGGAAGATGTTGGTGGCGCTAGTTGCGGCAAGCCGTTTCCTGTTGTTGAGTTTTTTTCGTTTTTCGTTTCCTGTTTTTCGTTATTGGGTAGTTCGAGGCAGGTAGACGCAGGTAATCGGCAGAGGTAGGTAGCTGACTAGGTAGGCAGGCAGGTAGACGCAGGTAGACGCAGGTAGGCGTATCCAAAGCCGCTGGCAGGGACAGCTGTTATGGAGCGCAGCTTCTGACTGGCAATAGAGAGAACTGTAGCACAGCTGGAAATCCTCTCAAAAAAAGATTTCTCATTTTGTTCATAGTTTTCTGCTAATGTTTTCTGTTAACGTGAGCGTGTGGCGCATGAGCTGTCAGCTGCTTGAAAAAAAAACAATTTTCAACTTCTTCAGGGATTTAGGTAATGGTCTGAGGACGCTTTATATGAAAATGTGCGCTTTGAAATGTTCGGCGGATCTTACGTATGATTTATGTGGTTCTTGGTTTCCATAGCTAAGTCGCCTTTTTTCTCTCTCTCTCTCTCTCTCTCTCTCTCTCTCTCTCTTTGAGACGCGCTTTCCCGCCGCGTGGGGTTCAACCCCGCGAATCTTTCCTCTTGCTGTTTCTTTTTGTGCTTTTTATCGTTGCTACTATGAATGTGTAGCAGTCGCAACAGCAGCAGCATTAGCAGCTGTGCATGGCAGCAGTGCAGACGCAACGGGCAGAGCACCAGGAAGGGAAGCAGACGCCCGGCCGGGGTTTAGCCAGGCCAGTGTTGAAGGGCGATACGATAACCATATCTATCTATCTGATGGTTGGTTCGGATTCCGTGGGAAAAGAAAGAAGGGCGCTGCGAGGTGCCGTACAGTGTGTATCGTACATCTTCATGGCGTTGTCGCCATGGCCATGGGCTATAAAAAGGCACACGAATGCGAATTGCGCGTGATGACGTGTTTAAAATGTGTGACATCGCCTTCGTTCTTAATTTGCGTATGTGTTTGTCTGTATGTGTATAAAAATCAGCCATCTTGATATGTGCAGCTGATGGTAATTCGGAGCGGTATTCGCGCGTTGGAGTAGAAAACAGAAGCGGTGGCTTTTCATGCACGCTGTCGCACGCATAGCGGAGATCTGTAAAAAGCGGGGCCGGTGTACGAGTCTGAAATCTGGGAAAAAAAAGGGCAGGAGAAGTAGTTTAAAAAAAGTTGAGTAGTGAGGGTATAGGAGTCACGCAATAAGAAGAGGTTTTGGATACATGGGGGAACCTGTGTTGTGTTTTGGGGGGCATGTCTCCTACTACGTCGCCTGATGGACGAGGGCATTTCAAGCCATGGGCATTTCAAGTGACGCGCTTGGCGTTATGGCTGGGGGGAGGGCCGTTACGCGTATATGTATATACATATATATGTATATATATGTATATATACATATATAAATGTGTGTGCGTCACGGGCTCTCCTGCTGCTGCTAATATAGGTTCAAAAAGGGAGAGTTAAGCGGAAAAAGTGCTAAACCCAAATCTTAAAACAGTTGGTGAGATTTTGCGGCGTCCTGCAGCCCACCAGCTGCCGTTTGGGCTCTGCGTTGCTTGGTGTTTTAATCATTATAGTCAAAGTGTTTTTCTTTATTACGTCTTTGTTTCCGATGGCACGAATGTTTTTACTCGGGCTCGAACGCGTGTGGATAGATCTACTATTAGAGAGGCGGTGGCAGCGTATTTGTTTCGGTGCTTTTGTACAAGATAGATAAAAAAAACTAATAAGGGCCAGACATACTTGTCGCGTTGCATGGGATGACGCTAATGGCTTTCCAGCTGAACAGGAAGCTGCTTAGAGAACTCTCTAGGTAGGGGATGTAATTCTGTCATGATCGCTTTTGAAATTTGAATTATTCCCGCAATCTTCTGCAATCCTGCTACACGTCCTTGCGCTTCTTAGGACGGACGTGTGTTTTACTGCTACGGAAAAAGCACCACCACAAAAATAAAAGGCTGGAACTGTTACCTAAATATATATATTTTTACATGGGCCAAATGTACGATGTGAATCCATGTACGGTCGACGTCATTTGTACAACAGTCGTGGGGCCTGTGTGGACCATCAACTCCTCCTCGGCTTATTAGTTTCGCGGCCTTCTCTGCCTCTGGCCAATCGCCCTCACATCTCTCCAAATCAGTCCATTTTTATAGCTTGGGCCATATCCGCCAACTGCACGATACACCAGGAGTCACTCCATACGCATCAGCCACACCAAACAGCAACAGCAGCAGCAGCTGATGCATAATACAGCTGTATGTGGCCTGCAGGCCACATGCGGGCGGCGTGTACGACAATACAACCACCTTTGATTTCTTTAGCTTTCCGTTTTTTAGCGCGCGACCAAATTTCCCCTAATCTAATTAAACAGGATTTGTGTGGTACCTAAAAAGACCTATTATTTATACAATAAAAACAACGGCAACATCCGGAGAGGAAGAAAAAGCACGACGCGGTCTAAATCGAAGTCGGCAGAAATCCCTTTTCCCCTCCCCTCCCCCTCATTTTCCAACCCCTACAGAGCAGGGTGATTCTCTTTTTCACTGTTATCACCACGCTTGCAGTAGAGGCCATCCGGGACGAGAGCTCCCTGCATGTACCGTACCAGCTCGCTTGGGCATCACTCGCGGGGGGAAACCAAGCTCAGCCGTCGTGGGCATTATTGGGCGAGTCCGAACTACTCAATTCGTACATACATACATACATACATACATATACATACATACATCATGAGTTGACGGGCAGACCGCCATTGGGGTGG